CTTTATTTATAAAGCACTTTCAACACCACGACTGGAACCAAAGTGCTGTACAGAAAAAGATAAGGGGGAAAAAAAATAAGAATAATAAGAATAATATAAAAACAAATGAAAAATAATAAAGGTAAAAAATAAAAAAATACATGAATAATAATAGTAACAACAAATATCATACACAGCTAAAAAACATTGTCAAAAGCTAGAGAAAACAAATGAGTTTTAAGCGAAAACACCCAAAGTTGGAGAAGTTCTAATAGACAGAGGAAGGGCATTCCAGAGCCTAGGAGCTGCCACAGAGAAAGCACGATCCCCTCTACATTTTAGACGAGATCGCGGAACCATTAGGAGTAGTTGATCATTTGAGCGCAGAGATCTGCTGGATTGACAGACACTAATTAAATCAGTAACATAGTCAGGTGATAGACCATGCACAGCCTTATAAACATACAGCAACGCTTTGAAATGAATTCTGTATCGTACAGGTAACCAATGCAGTTTGATTAACACAGGAGTAATATGCTCTCTCCCCTTTGTACTTGTTAAAAGTCTGGCAGCTGAGTTCTGAACAAGCTGCAAACGAGAGAGAGAGAGCTGATTCAAACCCAGATACAACACATTACAATAGTCCAAACGAGATGACACAAAAGCATGAACAACCTTCTCCATATCTTCAAAAGAGAGGATGGCTTCAACTTAGATATTGACCTTAGATGGAAAAAGCTATTTTTAACAACACCATTAATTTGTCGGTCAAATTTGAGCTCAGAGTCAAAGATGACACCAAGGTTTTTTACACAGGACAGTTTCTTCCCAGGAACCCTTATTACCAAATAAAATCATCTCATTCGATTGAAGAAAATTATTTGCCAACCAGCACTTAACCTCTGTCAGACATTCATGCAGAGACTGCAAAGCATATTTATGGTCCTGTTTCAGTGGTAAATAAATTTGTGAATCATCCGCATACAAGTGATAATGAATCCCAAATTTTTCAAAAATAAAACTCAATGGCAACATATACAGAGAAAATAAAATTGGTCCCAGAATAGAGCCCTGAGGAACCCCACAGACAAGAGGAGCAGTAGAAGAAGAGTAATCACCTAAACTGACTGAAAAAGTCCTATCCTTCAGATAAGAAGAGAACCATTTAAGGCTAAGCCCTGAACACCAACATGATTCTTGAGACGAGCAATAAATATATCGTGATCAACTGTATCAAATGCTACAGTAAGATCTAACAAAAGTAGAACAACACAACTCCCAGAGTCAACACCTCTAAAAACACCCAAAGTTGGAGAAGTTCTAATAGACAGAGGAAGGGCATTCCAGAGCCTAGGAGCTGCCACAGAGAAAGCACGATCCCCTCTACATTTTAGACGAGATCGCGGAACCATTAGGAGTAGTTGTTCATTTGAGCGCAGAGATCTGCTGGATTGACAGACACTAATTAAATCAGTAACATAGTCAGGTGATAGACCATGCACAGCCTTATAAACATACAGCAACGCTTTGAAATGAATTCTGTATCGTACAGGTAACCAATGCAGTTTGATTAACACAGGAGTAATATGCTCTCTCCCCTTTGTACTTGTTAAAAGTCTGGCAGCTGAGTTCTGAACAAGCTGCAAACGAGAGAGAGAGAGCTGATTCAAACCCAGATACAACACATTACAATAGTCCAAACGAGATGACACAAAAGCATGAACAACCTTCTCCATATCTTCAAAAGAGAGGATGGACTTCAGCTTAGATATTGACCTTAGATGGAAAAAGCTATTTTTAACAACAGCATTAATTTGTCGGTCAAATTTGAGCTCAGAGTCAAAGATGACACCAAGGTTTTTTACACAGGACAGTTTCTTCCCAGGAAACTGCCCCAGGCAGTCATAGATATCATTAACATAACCCTTATTACCAAATAAAATCATCTCTGTCTTATCTTCATTCAATTGAAGAAAATTATTTGCCAACCAGCACTTAACCTCTGTCAGACATTCATGCAGAGACTGCAAAGCATATTTATGGTCCTGTTTCAGTGGTAAATAAATTTGTGAATCATCCGCATACAAGTGATAATGAATCCCAAATTTTTCAAAAATAAAACTCAATGGCAACATATACAGAGAAAATAAAATTGGTCCCAGAATAGAGCCCTGAGGAACCCCACAGACAAGAGGAGCAGTAGAAGAAGAGTAATCACCCAAACTGACTGAAAATGTCCTATCCTTCAAATGAGAAGAGAACCATTTTAGGGCTAAGCCCTGAACACCAACATGATTCTTGAGACGAGCAATAAATATATCGTGATCAACTGTATCAAATGCTACAGTAAGATCTAACAAAAGTAGAACAACACAACTCCCAGAGTCAACGCCTCTTAAGATGTCATTGGAGACCCTCAATAGAGCAGACTCTTTACTGTGGCTGGCTCTAAAACCAGACTGGAATCGATCTAAGATATTATTCCTCTTTAAAAAATCATTTAACTGCTCCAACACAATTTTTTCCAATACCTTAGATATAAAAGGCAGCTTCGAAATGGGGCGAAAATTACTCATGTTAAAGGGATCTAAACCATTTTTTTAAGGAGGGGCTGAATAACAGCATGCTTAAAACTAGCCAGAACAACACCAGATGACAGACTACTATTCAAAATAGAGAGAATACTTGGACCAATAGTGTCAAAAACCTTCCTAAACAAAGAAGAAGGAATGACATCACCTGGAGACCTGGTAGGCTTCATATGGGCAATTATATGTTTAAGCTGCTGCAGAGAAGTAGGCAAAAAACTTGTCAACTGATTAATAGGATCGGCAGGAGTGATCAGCTCATTGCTAGCAGATGAAATTTGAGATCTAATTCCAGCGACCTTACCAATAAAAAATGTAAGAATGCTTCACATATATCAGCAGAAGGAATGAGTGATGGGGTGGCAACAGGATTGAGCACAGTGTTTACAGTAGAAAAAAGTACTCTAGAATTATGACAGTTTCTGGAAATAATGGCAGAAAAATAATTTGCTCTAGCTAATTTGACAGCCCTTTGATATTCATTCAGACAGTTCTTCAAAATCTCATAAGAGACCTGTAATTTATCTTTAAGCCATTTACGTTCAGCCCTCCTGCACTCCTGCCTGAGAGCACGGGTAGTACTATTTAACCAGAGCTGTAATTTAACCTTGTTTTTTTTAGCCTTGAAAGGAGCCACAACATCTAAAATATCAGAACAAGAAGCGTTAAATTGATTAACCAACTCTTCTAAATCCATACTATGACAGGGAGATTCAAACAAAGTGAGTAAAGGAGAAACCTCAAAAGCTGCTGAAAAACTACTAGCTGTGAAAGGAGAGGAGAAAGGACACGAGATGCAACAGGAACAGAAACATTACTTAAAACATCACATGGAAAATTAGAGATAAAAAGAACAGTCTTATGATCAGAAAAAACAGTATCAACAATCTTCAGATTACCAACAGAAAACCCCAAAGATAAAATAAGATCAAGAGTATGACCATACTCATGAGTTGGACCAAAAACACACTGTAAAAGATCAAATGACTCTAATAAATTTAAGAAATCTCTGACCAAGGGCTTTGAAGGGCAACACACATGTATATTGAAATCCCCCAAAATTTAAATTTTGTCAAAAGAGGGGACAATGTCGGGTCTCGGGGCTGATCACCTGTTTCTTGTTGTCTCTGTGTTTGTGTTTTGCGTGGTTGTTTTGACAGCTCGCCATGTGCGCATATGTCAGCATGATTGTTTCCCCCGCCCTCCTTGTTATCTGCTCGCCTCTTGTTTCACAAATGGACCTGGGGTACTGAAAAAACTGCAACCAGCAGAAGAGAGTTCAGAGACTGAAGACGTGTCGCCAGCAATAAGCCAAGTCTCAGTAACAAATAAAAAATTTGTTCGTGAGAGGCAAAGAGATCATTCAGAATAAAAGTCTTATTTGCCAGAGATCTCGCGTTTATTAACGCCATTGTCATTGGAGTGGTGTCAGAAAAAGATGGCGATTAAAATTATTAACTTAAATTAAAATAAAACTAATATCATCCAATGACCTATGACTGTCAAGTCTGGTCAAGTCATTAAAAATTACAAAAATCAAAATAAATGAATTTAAATAATATAAAACATCTTTTTATTTAATGTGATTTAACTAAATTAAAGAAGCAAATGTTATGAGGTCATGTGACAAATTGTCAACATTTGTCAACAGTTGTCAACATTTACCATTTTTCTTAAGTTTAAGCCATACTACTAAAATACCTACAACTAAATATACTAAAACTTAATAAAAAACAATATGGATATATGTATTAAAGGGGTCATATGATGTTGCTAAAAAGAACATTGTTTTGTGTATTTGGTGTAATGAAATGTGTTTATGCGGTTTAAGGTTCAAAAAACACATTATTTTCCACATACTGTACATTATTGTTTCTCCTCTATGCCCCGCCTTTCTGAAATGCATCGATTTTTACAAAACTTTTACTTTGGTCTGAAAAGCGAGGTGTGCTGTGATTGGCCAGCTATCTAGTGCGTTGTGATTGGCCGAATACCTCAAGCGTGTGACGGAAATGTTACGCCCCTTGCCATATTGTGATGCCGTGTCCCGGCCAGAGCGAAGAGACAAAACATTAAAACCCATTACAAACGAGGCATTTGTTGCATCCAGTGGGGACATAATCACAGATTACTATGACTTATACTGTCTTTTTACACGAAGGATGGGTGCGGGGAAGGAAGGGGATGAGGAGGAACCAATGCATATGTGAGAGACGTTTTCCCGCATTTTCTCTCAGTGAGATGCGGAAACAGATGTCTGTATGTTAATGCACTGTGTGTGTATTGTCTGTCTCAGAAGATCAAAGTATCTGAGTTTCTTTTATCCTTACAAGTCTTTGCAACTTTACAGATCTTCTTTATGCACCAAGAGCTTGTAACACTCCAAAGAGAAAGGAAAAATTTAAATCGCATCATATGACCCCTTTAAAAAAAACACTAACAAAAATGACAAAAGGACAAAACAAGATTAATAAACTTTACCTAAAATGAAAATGAAAACTGAAGATATATATTTAAAAAATCTAACTCAAAATATTAACAAAAATGACAATAGTATATCAATGATACTAAAATAACACAGTATATACAGAGTTCTGTATACAGAGAGTATACAGAGTGTGTATTCAGTAAGCTAGTATTCCATTCCGAACACAACCTAAAAGTTCATTTTAAGGAAGCTCACTATAGAAAAATAGACAAAGATGGACGGTGGGTTCATCCTCACCAACTGGTTCCCTTGAGGTCCCCATGCTGCATACTGAAGTACAGATGTATCCTCCTCTGATGGGGTGAGGTCTGTAATCTCCCTAAAATAAGTACACAAAAACACACGCACCAAGATTGAACAAGATTGAACTATTACTTCACACGCATTTGAAACACTACACGGTACAAATTCGTAAGGTTCTGGGTCATTTTTAGATTGCTTGAAAGGGCTCGTAAAAACAGCACGATGCAGATGCAGAGTTAATACAAAATGAAAGTGAAGTATACAGAGAGGCAGGGGTCTGGTCATGCAATGAAACCACAGTTAAGGCTAAATGATTTGAGAATTCTGCCAAAACAAGCAAATGGGCTTCAAGACATTTGTTAAAGTTTCACTGCTGTTTCACAACCACAAGCAAAAAATCTCAGGCTTTTATCAACAAACAGAACATAGCAAATCCCCGTCAGAGCATTCAATAAATTGCAGGTTAGTGTAAAAACATTTCATCCAGCAGAGACCTGTCAGCTCCAGAACAAATAGTACCTTTCCATACTTTTAAATATTCAATGCCTGATGGATAACGTTGGATAAAAGCACAAACGCTGAGGGACCTCTGGACTGGTTTTTGGTTGTGCACATGCCCAGTGCAGGCCATGCAGAGAGGGACCTCCGTCTCTACCTACCCGCTGGCCACTGTGAAGATTGCAAAGGATGCTGTGAAGGACTGTGAGAATACCTGGAAAGGGGCAGAGGACATGGTAGATCCCTAAATTGTACACAAACACATGTGTATGAACGGAATTGCATACTATCACAGTACGCTTTCTGTAGTACACTCTTAAAAATAACGGTTCCAAATGGGTGTTTTTGCAGTGATGCCATAGAAGAACCATTTTTGTTTCCCAAAAGAGCCTTTCAGTAAACAGTTCCTAAAAGAACCATTTTAAGAACATTTAAAAAATCTAAAGAACCTTTTTCGACTATAAAGAACCTTTTCTGCATTTGAAAGGTTCCATGGATGTTCGAGGTTCTTTATATAACCATTGATGCCAATAAAGAAACTTTATTTTTAAGAGTGTATGTCTATTGTGGCCGCATTCAAATTTACAGAATGCATTTGAAATTTCAGGATTTCTTACTTAACTTGTCGAATTGTACAGTATAAGAATGCAATGCAATGCGTTCAACTTGACCATCCCTACGGTGGCCGTGAAGTGCAAAGCAAATCACAATTCTGAAAACAAAATAACAAATTACAAACGCAAATGCAAGTCTAAAAAACAAAATAACAATTCAGAAAGCACAACAACAATTCAGAAAACATTATAACAAGTCAGAAAACACAATGACAAATTCGAAAACAAAATAACAAGTCAGAAAACACAAAGACAAATCCGAAAACAAATTTACAAGTCAGGAAACACAACGACAAATCAGACAAACTGGAAGAGGTAGGTATAGTTTGAGACAGCGCCATTGGTTTGGGATTACTCACCGCTGACTGGACGAGACATCTGTCAATCAACGTATACAGGGAAGAACCAGCCGAAGAACAGCAGAGTCGTGGTAGAAAGTTCGGAGATGGTATTAAAGTAGCTCAGTTTAAATGTATTGTATGAATTGCCCTTACTCTGGAATATAAAATACGGAGTGTATATTTACATTTAGTTAAAAGTGGGTGTAAACTATAAGCTCCAATGGCGCAGATGGATAAACGCTTGTTGTTGGCTTATTGATGCAATTGACCCGGGTTTGAGCCTGCCTTTTACCGAACTTTTTTTTTCATTTAATAATTAAAATTAAAATTATAATTTACACTCAATACGTGATCGATCCCGGGTCAATCACGTCAATAAGCCAATGACACTCACTTATCCATCTGCACCACTGGAGCTGATGTTTAACAACCACTTTTAACTAAATGTAAATAGACACCCCGTATGTTTTATTCCATAGTAAGGGCAATTCATACAATACATTTAAACTGAGCTACTTTAATACCATCTCCGAACTTTCTACCACGACTCTGCTGTTCTTCGGCTGGTTCTTCCTGTATACGTTGATTGACAGATGTCTCGTCCAGTCAGCGGTGGGTAATCCCAAACCAATGGCGCTGTCTCAAACTATACCTACCTTTTCCGGTTTGTCTGATTTGTCGTTGTGTTTTCTGACTTGTTATTTTGTTTTCGAATTTGTCATTGTGTTTTCTGACTTGTTATAATGTTTTCTGAATTGTTGTTGTGCTTTCTGAATTGTTATTTTGTTTTTTAGACTTGCATTTGCGTTTGTAATTTGTTATTTTGTTTTCAGAATTGTGATTTGCTTTGCACTTCACGGCCACCGTACCTTCCATTTCAAGTGTGAAGTTTGATTGGGGTCGATAAGATTTTGTTATATTTTTGAAAGAAGCATTTATTTGATCAAAACTACAGTAAATATTGTACAGTAATATTGTAACTGTATATTATAACTGTTTTCTGTTTAAATATGTGACCCTGGGCCACAAAACCAGTCATAAGGGTCAGTTTTTATAAATTGAGATTTATACATCTAAATAAGCTTTCCATTGATGTATGGTTAATTAGGATAGGACAATATTTGGCAGAGATACAACTTTTTGAAAATGTGGAATCTGAGGGTGCAAAAAAACAAAATATTGAAAAAAATCACCTTCAAAGTTGTGTAAATGAAGTTCTTAGCAATGCATATTACTAATCAAAAATGAAGTTTTGATATATTTACGGTAGGAAATTTACAAAATATCTTCATGGAACATGATATTTACTTAATATCCTAATGATTTTTGGCATAAAAGAAAAGACGATAATTGTTTGTGTATTGTTGGCTATTGCTACAAATATACCCCAGTGACTTAAGACTGATTTTGTGGTCCAGGGTCACATATATTTAAAATGTAATTTATTCCTGTGATACAAAGCTGAGTTTTCAGCAGCCATTACTCCATTCTTCATTGTCACATGATCCTTCAGAATAATTCTAATTTGCTGCTCAAGAAACATTGCTTATTATCAATGTTAAAACAGCTAGGCTGCTTAATATTTTTGTCAAAACTGTAATGCATTTTTTCCCAGGATTTTTTGATCAATAGAAATGTAAAAAGAAGAACAACTTAATGCATCCTTGCCAAATTAAATTACTTTATTTTCTTCTTTAATTATTGAAAATAAATATTTAAACATGCAATATAGTGAGACCATGTGAGAACAATGTAGCCCAATGCTATTTATTTATTTATTTGTAAAAAAGGAGCCTGTATCATTCTATCATACTATTTTAAACAATAGTCTATGTATACTGTGTAGTATGCAGTATGCTTGAATTCCATTCTGAACAAAGCACGCGTTCACATTCAGTTTGCACCGCTCATAATCTCTTTCATTCTCTCACTGCATGACAACACAACTGTGGATTCTGGTTAATGGTTCATTTAAATTTCAATTTCAAGCTTCATTCAGCTGATTCATCTGAGGAGCACAGTGAACAAAAGAAGCAATTCTTTAGAAAACATTTGAATTTATTTCACAATCAGTAGCTGGAAGGGAAATGGGAAGGCTTGACTCTTATTAACAGTACATCACATGTATGGGGTCATACGACAGAATGATAGCGGCATATGCCCCGTCTCGATCAGCATGATCATTGGGGTCAATATCCTTCAAAAAAAAAAAAAACTGCATGCGCAACATCCACATATCAGCACGTCAAAGATGACCTAAATCAATAGAAGTGTCCTTTGGGCCTCTGAGGACAATTGTGCATTTCGGCAATAAGGCAGGATAGTATATTACAATGCATTTGGCTATATGAAGATATATTGATCAGTTAGGTCAGTAATGATTAGTATAAAATTAGATGTATTGATTGCTGCAGCATCAGAACAGAATGCAGTGTGACGACAAGCTTTGAACTGCACTCGTTTCCCAAAAGCCTAATAGGATTGAAAGTCATGCCCTGCACTGCATACTAAAAACAGAACAGCCGACTGTCGCACTGTCACTACTGTTCAGCAGTGATGTTAAACAATTATTTCATTAAGATGAATGTTTGAGGTCAGTAAGATATTGTTTTTGAAAGAAATTAATACTTTTATTCAGCAAGGATGCATTAAATTGATCAAAAGGTTGCATTAAATAGATCACAGTTAAAAAAAGATTTCTATTTCAAATAAATGCTGTTCTTTTAAACCTTCAATTTATCAAAGAATCCTGAAAAAAATGTATTCGTTTTCAAAAAAAACAAGCAGCACAACTGATAACAAAATTTTTTTTATTGAGCACCAAATCTGCATATTAGAATGATTTATGAAGATTATGAGTCACTGAAGGCTGCTTAAAAATTTAGCTTTGCCATCACAGAAATAAATAATATTTTAACATATATTAAAATAGAAAATAGTTATTTTAAATTGTAATCATATTTCACAATATTATTTTTCTGTATTTAAAAAAAAAAAAAAAAAAAAATCAGCCATGGCAAGCATAAGAGACTTCTTTCAAAACCATTTAAATCTTACCGACCCCAAGCTTTTGAACAGTATTGCATCTCAGTATTAAAAAGACAGACATAAGATTGTGTGGCAGGTGAAAGTTGCAATCTCAAAGTGTCTAGTTCTGAGTTTTAGCACATTTTTCTCTGAGGATATAAGACTATATGTGTGTTGATTATAGGAAAAAAAGATTGTGGTTTCCTGCTGTGAGTCATAAATCCTCTTTTTGCAAGGATTCTCAAAATTAATAACCCTTACGGTAAACAGTGGAAGAAATATTGCTAACGTGGGAATCTGCATCATTGTGACACTGGCATAGTAATCGCACTAATTTGCTCAATAACACTGAGCGCGGTACTGATGCCCACACAATTCTCAGTGCCAAAAGTGCAAGATCTGCCCTAGTTTGCCTTTCCGCCTGCCTTTTTCCTATTCGTTCTGTTCTCTGTTCTCGCTGACTGTAAAATCTTTTGATTCATGTTCATCACAACACGTCCTCCTCTGCGCTTTCAGTCTCAGGTTGCCCTGGTTCACAAAATGCGTACCTCTTCATTTCTGAATCTCTGTGGATGCTTTAGCTTTTATTCCTTTAACTTTGACTTCCTTCCTCCTTGGCTGTAAAAGTGATAGTCCACCCAAAAAAAGAAATATCTGTCATCATTTACTCAGCCTCATGTCACTGCAAATGCGAATGGCTTGCTTTTCCCAGTTTTTTCCAGCTGCTTTTTCTAGGCAATCACAATAACTAAAGCTTTCAAGATTTGAAAAAAGAATAAGATATACAAAAACCATGACTTTAATGTTTATTTTTTTCTTACATCTTCTTATAGTCGCATTTAGCAGATTAGAACTTGCTGATAATACAGTACACATTTTGCAACAATACAAGCAATCGAGCAGTTAAGATTTGCTATACACTAAATATATATCCTTTGCAGTATATATTTTTTTATATAACGCAACGCTGAACTCATATTTCATCCGCCCGGAACTGCTTCCGTGTACAACTGTTGGCGCAAGCTACATTAAAGTGATTATTACGTTTTGAATATGGATATTTTTCTTACAAAAATGCATCGATTTGCTACAGAAGGCCTCTGTTCACCCCCCGGAGCCGTGTGAGACACTTTTTTTTT